TCGTCCTGAGTCACTCAACATACACCATCTGGAGGGCTGGGCCCAGTTTCCAGAGGAACCAACAGAGAAAAGAGCTTGTCAAGGCTCAGCTTGCACTTTCTCAAGCTCAGGCACACAATGGAAGCAGGACGGCGAGGAGCAGATTCCTACCTCCTAAATCTTCTGGCCATTAGTTCCTCCCTCCCTTTGTTTACCTCTCCCATTTTACTGTAGTTTCTCACCAGCTGAACAAGGCAATGAGGTCACTGTTTGGAGATCATGGTGCAGAAGTCAGCTGGGGTGTGAAGACAGAAACTAATCAGGAAAGTCTGGCAAGGGGAGAGAATTGGGGGACTGTACCCCCATACAGGATTAGTAGTGGGTGCGCTGGGTGAGTCTAAGAACACCTTAAACTTCCCTGTCTTCAGTAGTGGTGTGTGAAGCAATTGGGTCAGAACTTGAGAGGCTGGGTTCTGCTGCCTGCTTTTGTAGATTTTTTTTTTTTTTTAAGGAAAGATGAAAATTAAAAAAAATAAGTCTTTTGCAGAGAAAACAAAGTCATAGTTCAGACATTTGCCCTGCCTTTCTTTTCCTCCTTCCCTCCCTTATTTCCAAGCATTTTCCACTTGCAGATGCAGATTTGTGGGTCCCTCTTTGCCCTGCCCATTGAGCCAGAAAGTTTTACAAACCAGTTTGCATCCAGTCCATGAAAAATGAGTGTGGGGCTTCAGTCTGGAGCACTGATGCTGGAAGCAGGAGAGACTTTGCAGAGGTAGGGACATCCCAGTACACTAGCTCCACCTGATACCTGTGACCTGTGGGAGGTGCTGGTTCCAGAGCAATGCTCCGATGATCCTATCTGGCGGTCCCCTGTCACCAGGGCCAACTATCCGGGGCATACCATCAAATGGAAGGGCTCCCTGGGCCCCTGGCTGATGGTCTCCACCAAGACATTTTGTGGGGAACAAGATTACTTTCATACCAGCCTTTGAAACCACAAAGCACAGGTAACTGCTGGAGAGTCAGGGGACATGCCATTCACATGGGCATTCAGACTGTGCATAAATGGAGTGTGGGACAAGAAGGACATGGAGCTGCTGGAGCGTGTCCTGAGAAGGGCAGAGAAGCTGGTGAAGGGTCTGGAGCACAAGTGTGATGAGGAGCAGCTGAGGGAACTGGGGTTGTTTAGTGGGGAGAAAAAGAGGCTAAAGGGAGACCTTCTTGCTCTCTACAACTACCTGAAAGAAGGGTGTAGCCAGGTGGGTCTCAATCTATTCAACCAAGTAACAAGTGACAGGACAAGAGGAAACGGCCTCAGGTTGTGCCAGGGGAGGTTTAGGTTGGATATTAGGAAAAATTTCTTCACCAAAAAGGTTGTCAAGCACTGGAACAGGCTGCCCAGGGAAGTGGTGGAGTCACCATCCCTGGAGGTGTTCAAAAAACGTGTAGACATGGCACTTGAGGACATGGTCTAGTAGGCATGGTGGTGCTGGGTTGACGGTTGAACTTGATGATTTTAGATCTTTTCCAACCCTAATGATTCTGTGATTCTATTTTATGTGTGCACACAGCCAGTACCTTGTGTGCTGGGTGCGACGGGGTATGGAGCTTTGCAGTGTGAAAGTTTTGGAGGGGTGGGAAAGAGAGGAAGGAGGATGGGAAGTGGGCACGTGTTCATCTCACATGTAAGATGTCTCAGAGGATGTTCTGTACTTCCCAGTCACATTCAGCCATCCAGAAGAAGCTGAGTCAGTCTGCTAGAGTATTCCTGCTCCCGGCAAGACAGCCGCAGGCAGATGCGTCTCATGTTGAGTGCATAGGTTCCAGGAGTCAACTCTTTCCTGAGCAAAAGGTAAGTACAAAAGCAACAACGCTTTGTCTTTGATAAGGAATGTAGTGGTGGTTTGATCTGGCATCCCTTGAATGTGGTGGCCCCCATACTGCAAGAAAAATGCCAGAAATGTGTTTGCAACTGGCCTGAATTCCAGCCTGCTTGCACGCTACTGGGGATGGACAGGCTCTGAGCTCTCAAGTGACGGGTCCCCTCCTTGGGTCCTGCAAAAGCTGGGGCTAGGAGGAGGGAAAGAATCATCACTGCCCCGAATCAAGCAATAAACTTTGGGGACTGTAGAAAATTCACAAATTTCCTTGCAAATTCTTGCAAATGCAGCAAAGCTCGTATAACTTGCAGGTGCTCAGTGACTCAGGTGCTGTGAAGTTACAGCTGCTCTGTGTCCCAGATCCTTGCTGGGACTGCAATAGAACTGAATAGTTGCTCTGACATGTCCTGGCAATGACTGTGAAGTGAAAAGGCTTTGGCAGACAATGAGTCCCCGACTGCCCCAGTTTTCTCAGACTCAAATAGGTTATTGTCCTTCTTTCCTCTCTGGTGCTAACAAGTTTCCTCTGTAAAACTCCTTCCCCCTCTGATGCTGGGGCACTGATTCTAGAGCTTGCAAAACCACCAGAAATGTGGTCTCCTGCTG